TTTCCTGCGGTACTTGAGTCAAGTTGTTGAGACGCTAGGTCGTCACACACGGCTCTTGTTTTAATTATCCTGTACGTGAGCAGTGACAAGCGTGCACATCTTCAAATCTTTGGGTTCATGTTAATTGTAACGTTTTAGTTGCATGATTCACACATGATGGTTGGAAGTGTTCAAGTTTGTTTGGGGTTAAATCTACTTTGTTAATTTAAAGTTTCCTTAAGCATTATCCACGTAAACTATTATAATTGTATTGCATTTAAACGAATGTGGTAGTTTTATTAGCAGTGTACAGAGGTAGCATTGAGCTACACTACCAAAACAGTTAAACTTATTCAGTGAATATCATTTTGTTTGCTCTTGTTACAGTGGAGTTGTGTGGTTGATGTATTTGTGATGTGTGGACGTGCGTGATTGAGGTGCTTTTATGTGTACGTGTCCGTGTGTGTGATGGACGTGTGTATGTGATGTGTATCTGATGAGGATGTGGTGATGTGAACGGGAACAGGGCATTTCCCCCTGTCAATTACCCCCGCCCAGTAGGATATTACCCCCCCCCCCCCCCACCCGACATGGTAAAAGGTTAGGCTTAAACCAATGTCTAGCGTTGGTTTTGGTTTTGTGTTAAGTTTTAAGCTGAGTTGGATGCTTAGGTTTTGGTCTTTTTCTTAAGGTTAGGATTAAGGTAATATATAGTATAGAATTCTAGTAAGAATTAGGATTCTAACTTTAGGGGGGGGGGGGGGTAATTGACTGGGGGTAATGGTTCCGGGGGTAAAGACAGAGGGGGGTAATTTCCGGGAGGGGGGTAATGCCCTGTAGCCGTTGTAAACGTGTTTGGTATTGAAGTGTTTGGTGTGAGCGTATGTGATGTGGACGTGTTTGGTGAGTGATGTGGACGTGTTTGGTGAGTGATGTGCACGTGTTTGGTGTGTGGTGTGGACGTGTTTGGTGTGTGTTGTGGACATGTTTGGTGTGGACGTGTTTGGTGTGTGGTGTGGACGTGTTTGGTGTGTGATGTGGACGTGTTTGGTGTGTGATGTGGACGTGTTTGTGTCGTGTGTGGTGTGGACATGTTTGTGTCGTGTGTGGTGTGGACGTGTTTGGTGTGTGATGTGGACGTGTTTGGTGTGTGATGTGGACGTGTTTGGTGTGTGATGTGGACGTGTTTGGTGTGTGATGTGGACGTGTTTGGTGTGTGATGTGGACGTGTTTGGTGTGTGGTGTGGACGTGTTTGTGTCGTGTGTGGTGTGGACGTGTTTGGTGTGTGATGTGGACGTGTTTGGTGTGTGATGTGGACGTGTTTGGTGTGTGATGTGGACGTGTTTGGTGTGTGGTGTGGACGTGTTTGGTGTGTGATGTGGACGTGTTTGTGTCGTGTGTGGTGTGGACGTGTTTGGTGTGTGATGTGGACGTGTTTGGTGTGTGGTGTGGACGTGTTTGTGTCGTGTGTGGTGTGGACGTGTTTGTGTCGTGTGTGGTGTGGACGTGTTTGTGTCGTGTGTGGTGTGGACGTGTTTGGTGTGTGATGTGGACGTGTTTGGTGTGTGATGTGGACGTGTTTGTGTCGTGTGTGGTGTGGACGTGTTTGTGTCGTGTGTGGTGTGGACGTGTTTGGTGTGTGATGTGGACGTGTTTGTGTCGTGTGTGGTGTGGACGTGTTTGGTGTGTGATGTGGACGTGTTTGTGTCGTGTGTGGTGTGGACGTGTTTGTGTCGTGTGTGGTGTGGACGTGTTTGTGTCGTGTGTGGTGTGGACGTGTTTGTGTCGTGTGTGGTGTGGACGTGTTTGGTGTGTGATGTGGACGTGTTTGGTGTGTGGTGTGGACATGTTTGTGTCGTGTGTGATGTGGACGTGTTTGTGTCGTGTGTGGTGTGGACGTGTTTGGTGTGTGATGTGGACGTGTTTGGTGTGTGGTGTGGACGTGTTTGGTGTGTGGTGTGGACATGTTTGTGTCGTGTGTGATGTGGACGTGTTTGGTGTGTGATGTGGACGTGTTTGGTGTGTGATGTGGACGTGTTTGTGTCGTGTGTGGTGTGGACGTGTTTGGTGTGTGATGTGGACGTGTTTGGTGTGTGATGTGGACGTGTTTGTGTCGTGTGTGGTGTGGACGTGTTTGGTGTGTGATGTGGACGTGTTTGGTGTGTGATGTGGACGTGTTTGTGTCGTGTGTGATGTGGACGTGTTTGTGTCGTGTGTGATGTGGACGTGTTTGTGTCGTGTGTGGTGTGGACGTGTTTGGTGTGTGATGTGGACGTGTTTGGTGTGTGATGTGGACGTGTTTGGTGTGTGATGTGGACGTGTTTGGTGTGTGATGTGGACGTGTTTGGTGTGTGATGTGGACGTGTTTGGTGTGTGTTGTGGACATGTTTGGTGTGGACGTGTTTGGTGTGTGGTGTGGACGTGTTTGTGTCGTGTGTGGTGTGGACGTGTTTGGTGTGTGATGTGGACGTGTTTGTGTCGTGTGTGGTGTGGACGTGTTTGGTGTGTGATGTGGACGTGTTTGGTGTGTGATGTGGACGTGTTTGGTGTGTGATGTGGACGTGTTTGGTGTGTGATGTGGACGTGTTTGGTGTGTGATGTGGACGTGTTTGGTGTGTGATGTGGACGTGTTTGTGTCGTGTGTGGTGTGGACGTGTTTGTGTCGTGTGTGGTGTGGACGTGTTTGTGTCGTGTGTGGTGTGGACGTGTTTGGTGTGTGTTGTGGACATGTTTGGTGTGGACGTGTTTGGTGTGTGGTGTGGACGTGTTTGTGTCGTGTGTGATGTGGACGTGTTTGTGTCGTGTGTGGTGTGGACGTGTTTGGTGTGTGATGTGGACGTGTTTGGTGTGTGATGTGGACGTGTTTGGTGTGTGATGTGGACGTGTTTGTGTCGTGTGTGGTGTGGACGTGTTTGGTGTGTGATGTGGACGTGTTTGGTGTGTGGTGTGGACGTGTTTGTGTCGTGTGTGGTGTGGACGTGTTTGGTGTGTGATGTGGACGTGTTTGGTGTGTGGTGTGGACGTGTTTGTGTCGTGTGTGGTGTGGACGTGTTTGTGTCGTGTGTGGTGTGGACGTGTTTGGTGTGTGGTGTGGACGTGTTTGGTGTGTGATGTGGACGTGTTTGGTGTGTGATGTGGACGTATTTGGTGTGTGTTGTGGACGTGTTTGGTGTGTGATGTGGACGTGTTTGGTGTGTGATGTGGACGTGTTTGGTGTGTGGTGTGGACGTGTTTGGTGTGTGATGTGGACGTGTTTGGTGTGTGATGTGGAAGTGTTTGGTGTGTGATGTGGACGTGTTTGTGTCGTGTGTGGTGTGGACGTGTTTGGTGTGTGTTGTGGACGTGTTTGTGTCGTGTGTGGTGTGGACGTATTTGGTGTGTGTTGTGGACGTGTTTGGTGTGTGATGTGGACGTGTTTGGTGTGTGGTGTGGACGTGTTTGGTGTGTGGTGTGGACGTGTTTGTGTCGTGTGTGATGTGGACGTGTTTGTGTCGTGTGTGGTGTGGACGTGTTTGGTGTGTGGTGTGGACGTGTTTGGTGTGTGATGTGGACGTGTTTGTGTCGTGTGTGGTGTGGACGTGTTTGGTGTGTGGTGTGGACGTGTTTGGTGTGTGATGTGGACGTGTTTGGTGTGTGATGTGGAAGTGTTTGGTGTGTGATGTGGACGTGTTTGTGTCGTGTGTGGTGTGGACGTGTTTGTGTCGTGTGTGGTGTGGACGTGTTTGGTGTGTGATGTGGACGTGTTTGGTGTGTGATGTGGACGTGTTTGTGTCGTGTGTGGTGTGGACGTGTGGTGTGTCGTGTGTGGTGTGGGCGTGTTCGGTATGTGGTGTGGACGTGTTTAGTGTGAACGTGTGTATGTGAAAGAGAATATTACCGGCTATAGCCCAGTAGATCAACAGTTGCAACCTACCAATGTAACTTAAGGAATCCGGTGTTGTACCCGGAATATTATCTCAAGGGAACGTGGCGTGACATTACCCTCTGTACCGGTGAAATTGTTTTAAGAATTTGAAATAATTTTCTAGAAAACGAGAGGGAGAGAGTTGGATATTTAAAAAGAAATATTTCGCTTTTGGCTGGCCATTTTTTTTTCGATTATGTCTCGTGCTTATCAACATCTATTTCATGAAATGGACAACAATGCGTTTCATTATTTAGATTGTTGAAAGGAATTGAGCCTCAGTGTTGCGCGCCATAGTGTGCATCAGTTCATGAACGCGTGAGTTGATCTCTTCTTTAGGAGAGCAGTTTTGTTTGTATGTTTGTTTTGGTTGTTTTTATTGTTGTCCCTTTTTGTCACTTCTCTAAACACAGTCGCAATGCCGTTTGCCTCTTAACATCGTCCTGACGGCAGCTATTCTGGCTAAGAACAATAATTAAATTGGTAAAATTACATGTTAACATCATACTGGTCAGTTCGTTTAAAATGTAACACCCGCGACATGTACAGGGTTCGCTGGCCCTGGGTTTGTGGCCATCGATGTCTGGTGATGGAACCGGTGCCTGGTCGTTCTGCTCATTTAGAAAAAGCAGTTTACTTTCCCTTCCTTTTCACCATACCATATTACGACTAGAATGTCGACCACAGCAGTTCTTTAGGGTGCTATAATAGTTCAACAGAAAGTACTTATTTAACCTAAACCTAGTCCCGATGCCAATCCACATATCAAAGCTATTCTCGAACCTAGCCTAGACCCAAAGATTAAGTATTGTTATTAAAAAAACACCTTTCATTCAAATAACTCTGTAATCTTAAATAAACGTGCTAAAAACGACTTTGTTAAGGTATATTGTAGTAGTAAAGCTGGCATCACACCCCTCTCCTTTTTACGTCGGCCAAAGCTAAAAATTGTTTTTCTCTCAACACCCCGACCTCATTTCTTTCCTACCCCTGGCCTCATCTCCCACCCCTGCATCAACACCCTGCCCCTATACACCAGCTGTCCACTAACCATATAGCCTACCCTGCCCCCTATACACCAGCTGTCCACTAACCATATACACCTCTCGTCCACAGAACCGGCTACAGGAAGTACACGGTGACATCACCATCTGCCACAGGCCCACCAAATTGTACACCAACGGATGTTCACCAACCTAGGCCCACCAACGGATGATCTAGTTCACCAACCCAACAGGATACCAAGGGTGGCCGTAGTTGATCTATTCAACACATCCCTGTTCAAAAAACGTTTGTCTTAACCCACACGGCGCTCATAAATCAGCCATTAACTTGATAACCCCAACTGTGTAGATGCCACTTCTTGAGAATGCCAATACCTCGACGATTGTTTTCCCATCTTTGAAGGCTTAAAACTTTCGAATCATTGTGTTTCGCATCCCTAGCGAACTCTTCCACTTCCCGGTACCCTAGGAGGTAAAAACAAGATCCTGCGGATGCCTAAGTCAGCAGTGGCTGACGATGTATTTTTGTCCGTGCCCCTGCAATGATCCCATTGACCCGGAAACGGAAGAGAACACGTTCGTCGCCCTGCCCAGAAATCTTTCCTACGTCCAAGACAGCTACCTGGACCGCTACAGTGTGAGCGCGCGGTTCGTACACAACCCTAAGATCGAACGCTGCATCCAGCACGAACAGAATGAAGAATACAAAGCCAACGTAGAGGACGAAACCATCGGCCTGCTGTCGGTGATCAAAGCTCAGGACTTCCCCGTCAACTTCAGCGCCAACAACAGTGAGGCGCTGCGGCCGCTCTTGTCCCCCACGCCACCAGCTTACACCCGCCCAGAGTCCCCGACTTTTCACAGCGCGTTTTCGATCTACTCGTCGCCGTACGTCAAGAGCACGGGCGCTAACTCGTCGTCAGCAACATCGCCGCCTCTCCTCTCCTCCTCGTCGTTTCTTGCCCCGGCCTCTCGTGTCGCCTCCAAGCTCTCGGCGTTGATCCACTCTCCTCCCAATGAGTGTATGGACAGGGATGCTGGGAGCAGCGTGGATGGTGACAACATATCACTCGTGATGGATGCTCTAGGCGGCAGTGGATTGTCCTCTCTAGGGGAGGACATGGACAGGGGCGTTACCCCCAAGTTTGGTCATGAAACCGAAAACTACAGTACTTACTGTGATAATGGAGATCTAGATCCGGATCTAATGTTAGCGGATATTGTGTCCAACGATTCGGATGATACAGGTTTGGTAGAGCCAGGGGACGTCAATGCAGGGGGGACCACTGCAGTAGATGACCCGGAACTCAAACCTTATGGGGTCGGAGGCAAGACCCACTTCCCTAAAATCGGCAGTGAGGAAATCTCCCATAAAACCGGACTGCACGTCTCTGTGGATCCGGTCAACGGTCCGGTTCCATTCGGTTCGCCGGATTCTGACGGTTTTAGTGAAGAGGGTATATTCGTGAATATGGACGATCTGGAGAACACGGAGAAATCTGTTAGCGAGGTCAGCGACGACACGTACGTCTCGGCCGACTCCATGTTCAGCCCTGAGGAGGGGGACGTGGACAGCGAGTCGGTCCTGGAACCATCCCGGAAGATGACGCTACAGGAGGCTATTGACCGCGCGGCATCTGACCTGAGTAAAATCACGATGAACATGTACGGCGAGTCCTCCAAGCTAGGCCAGGACTCCGAGCCCCAGCAGGAGCTTTACGATGAAAGTTTGAAATCCCGGATCACGCTGGCATCTATGGGCAGAGCCTCGCCCGTGCGAATGATCACAGGACTAAAGCTTCAGGTCAACGAACAGAGTAGTGTTGATGTTCAACCTCCGGGCTGTGAATCACCCACCGACCAGAACGAAAGTCCAGTATATGAAGAAAGTGAGTTTAACTTCAGTCGCGTACAGCTTAGGAAATCTTCTTCTCTAAAAACAAACAAAACGCCCCCCGGGACGCCCCACCGGAAGAAGGTCGTCAGATTTGCTGACGCTATGGGCCTGGATTTGGAATCAGTCCGACACGTGCTGAACATGGAATCGCCCCCAAAGATTCCCGCCTCCGCCATGGCTGACCTGCGGGCCGGCTTGTCCGAAGACCGGAAAGACATCGGCTCCAAGTACCTGTGTCCGTGCTTCAACCAGCCGGGCGCGGCGGAAAACTTTACCCAGAAGGTCCTGTCCCAGAAGGTCTGTCTTGAGAACGCCATCATCACGGATCTTACCATAACTGGCATCGTTCGTGTGTCCAACATCTCCTTCCACAAGAGCGTGCGGGTCCGCTACACGCACAACTCGTGGGCGACCTTCCACGACATCGCGGCCAGCTATGTCCAGAACTCGTGTGACGGCCCTACGGATCGCTTCTCCTTCAGCATCGTGGCGCCGCCCTACTTTGGCCCCGGCTCCCAGCTCGAGTTCGCCGTCTCGTACAACGCCGGGGGCGTCGAGTACTGGGACAGCAACGACGGGAAAAACTACGTGTTTGAATGTTTTGCCAAAACGGTGCCGACTGAAAATGAAAACGCCTGGCTTCACTTTCTGTAATATTTCTTATTTCTATTTTCGACGGTCGATACCCTGACTCTGCTCTGGTCAGTACGGACAGTGGTCACTACGGCTACAAGACTTGTTGATAACGAGCACAATATTTTCTTCATGCAGTCATGTATGTATAGTAGATGTAGTCCAAATGGCGTCTTGATTGCCGATATCTTTAGTGCATCAACACCATACAGAGCTTGTAGTCCTACTGGAATTAGCTGGCAGTAGGTTGCGTTACAAGATGGGGCATGGGCGGAGCTAGTTCCAAAAAGGGGTGGTCTTGATCTATACGCCCTGGTTGTTACACTGCTCTGCTTCCAAAGACGTGTCTGTCTGTCGATAAAAGAAGCATTTGTCTGTCCGTCATACGGGTTTCTGTATCCACAGACTTGTATGTCACATAGAGAAAGATTTGCCTGTCTGTAAGACAGACTTGCCTGTCTGTACGACAGACTTGCATGTCTGTCAATTCTTGTTTAACGTCATGTGTTTTTTTTCTTTATTCGTTCATCAATGAAAGTGGACCTCCTATTGTCTTCCTTTCAATCATGTGATGTTTAGAGTGTGATTTATTTTCACTTGATCTGTTATATACTAAATATTTAATATACACCTGTGTTGGTAGAGCCGAAGACCCAAGTGCTAGAACTAATGTCACGTTTTAAACGTTGGAGTTGTTCCAGTTTGAAAGACTATATTCTCAAGTCTGAAGCCCTTCATGATTACTAGATAAAAGCTTAGCCTCAGTCGGAGAGTTAACTGTCATTATTGTGGACTTGGCATTTAAAGTTTAGCACAAGGGTCTTCGTTTTGTTTGCAATCTAAGTAAAAAAGATGTTTCTATACTGTATACGTTGTCATTCGATAAAGAAATCTAAGCATTTTTTTTAAAGCTGTATAACTGTTTTCCGTTGAAATATTTTTCTTTATCTTCGTTTTTATTTATAATATATTGCAAGATTTTGAAAACTAATTGTACATATTTTTTTCCTGTTTGTAATGTCTTAAGTTACTTTTTTTAAAGACACGTACATGTGATTGCATTGCATTTTTGTTTGGTTGACATCTGTAAGAAAGTATAAGATGGTCACTAGGACTGTATCTTTCTCCACCTGCACCGTAGGTGGTCTGACCGTTGATGGTCAGTTTGGCCGTTGATGGTCATCTGACCGTCGATGGTCATCTGACCGTAGATGGCGTTTGGCCGAACATGGTCAGTTTGACCGTAGATGGCGTTTGGCCGTAGATGGCCAGTCTGACCGTAGATGGTCATCTGACCGTAGATGGTCAGTTTGGACGTAGATGGCTAGGTTCACTAAAGATATTCGGCCTAGGGATGGTCAGATAACTTGAGGAGGAGTCCGGCTAACGTGAACATGGGGTGGCTGCCTGTCTAACGTGAACATGGGGTGGCTGCCTGTCTAACGTGAACATGGGGTGGCTGCCTGTCTAACGTGAACATGGGGTGGCTGCCTGTCTAACGTGAACATGGGGTGGCTGCCTGTCTAACGTGAACATGGGGTGGCTGCCTGTCTAACGTGAACATGGGGTGGCTGCCTGTCTAACGTGAACATGGGGTGCTGCCTGTCTAACGTGAACATGGGGTGCTGCCTGTCTAACATATTTACCTCTATCGAATATGCTCACTCGTGTACATCTGTTAGCAAAAAAAAAAACTTTTTGTTTTTAGGCACAGTATGAGCATCCACTAAAATCTGTGATATATTCTAGTTTACACCTCTAACTTACTATTGTTTGCTGCATACACCGTTTGGTGGTGTGTAGAAAACTTTACCATTGGTTTTGTGTTGCACACACCATGTGGTGTTGTGAAGGTGACTTCACTTGTTGCAAACACCATTTGGTATGTAGCAGACTTTACCATTGGTTTAGTATTACATACACCATTATTGGTGTTGTATGCAACGAGTGAAGTCATCCACACACAATTTGGTGTTGTGTAGCAGATACCACTTGTTAATATTGCCGCGTTAAACTGTTGTGTAGCAGATTTAACATGGTGATATTGTCGCGTTAAACTGTTGTGTATGAAATCGAGAGTTTGTTCATTTCTTTCTGTGTTAAAGTACCTATAGAAGTTAGCTTTCATCTGTTATGTTAGATTTGCTCTGGCGGTCCATGTGTGTACCTAATGTCCGGTCTGTTCTGTGATATTTATCCATAGTTTTTTTATTATGTTCGTTTCGGGAGAAACTGTTTTCTACAGAGGGGTGAAAACCACATGTTGAAGCTAGTTCATAATTTATCAAATGTGAATGTTATTTTTTTTAATTAGCTACAGCAGTATTTGTGATCGAGATAGCCAACAAGCCACCAAAATCCAACAAATCTTAATTAAGTAGGCCTAATTATAACTATAAATTAAATTTTTAATAGCTGATACGTCAAGCCATACATCCTTGCCATGTGTATAAATGATCAAAAGTGAAAACCTTCAAATTTAAAGTAGATTGTTTGAATGTTATAATAAATATAACACTAAAACAAATAGAATCTCCAACAGTTTTTGTTTTATTTGCTTAATTTATTTTAACAATTTGAAAAGTGCCTTACAGTTTCAACTGAGGGACATAATTAACTAAAACCCGCTTAGGTTTAGCCTCCTGCCCCGCGAGATTTGATTTGTAGAAAATAAAAGCTGTTAACATCTATTTTGACAACTTTTCGTATTTTGTTGTTTAATAAGTAAATGTAGTAATAAAGATTTTACAACTGTAGCTGACTTTTGTAATGCTTTCTTCTGATTGTCGTATGAATTTGTTTTTTTTTTCTCTGCAACATTTGTTAAAGTGTCCGTTCTTGTTCTATGCAACATTTGTTTGGTCTGTGTACTTGTTCTATGCAACATTTGTTTGGTCTGTGTACTTGTTCTATGCAACATTTGTTTGGTCTGTGTACTTGTTCTATGCAACATTTGTTTGGTCTGTGTACTTGTTCTGTGCAACATTTGTTTGGTCTGTGTACTTGTTCTATGCAACATTTGTTTGGTCTGTGTACTTGTTCTGTGCAACATTTGTTAAAGTGTCCGTTCTTGTTCTGTGCAACATTTGTTTGGTCTGTGTACTTGTTCTATGCAACATTTGTTTGGTCTCTAAACAAAATATCTTAGATAAAATAATATATCAAAGCAAATCATATCTATGAATAGAGCTGAAATATATAATTATATATATGTATATAATTATATATAATTATATATTTTATATTTTTGGATATGTATAATATCTATGGATACGTTTATATATATATATATGTTTATATATATGGATATGTCTATATATATATGGATATGTATATATATATACGGATATATAGGCCTATATATGGATATTTATATACATGGATATGTATATATATGGATATATATATATGGATATGTATATATATATGGATATGTATATATATATGGATATGTATATATATATATATATGGATATATAAATATATATGGATATGTATATATATATGTATATATAAATATATATGGATATGTATATATATATATATGGATATGTATATATATGGATATATATGGATATATATATATATATATATATATATGGATATGTATATATATGTATATATATGTATATATATATGGATATGTCTATATAAATATATATGGATATGTCTATATAAATATATAAGGATATGTCTATATAAATATATATGGATATGTCTATATAAATATATATGGATGTGTCTATATCTAATATATAAAGCTCAATTCTGTAACGCATATGTTTGTCGTTGGCATTTCTACGGATTTAAGTGTTAGATCAATTATCGTGCGCAGTTGTCTAAATTTATGAGTTAAAAAATTACTATTAAAAGTGTTGGGAAATCATTTTCATTTTTCAAATTATAGTAATAATTGTCGGCATGTTCATTAAACACAAGTTTTTAAAAAAATATCATCTTTTACAAAAATTCTAATTATGTCTTTCTTTAGTCCTATAGCGCTTACTTCCCTTTGATAATTAAGGCAAACACAATTACTTCCCTTTATAAAACCATAGCATTAGTTGAAAAGCATTTACTTTTTAATTACTTTGTTTTGGTGTTGGGAAAAAAATAATTACATAATTAGCGGGGATTGATCAAGTGCAAATGTTGTAGGTATTTTACGGATAAGCTTGGAGTATTATAATTGTTCATTAAATTGAAACAGGCGCGTTCGTTTAAGTGAGTGCAAAAACTATGAATAAGTTGGGGTACTATAGTCGTTTATTAAGCTAAAACAGGCGATTCTGCCCCGGGCGTTTATGTTCGCGTTAGTGTTTTCTTTGTATTTAGGTGGGTTTGCGTTAGTGGTTGCGTTTTGATTTGGTTCGTTTTTGTTCTTTCTTTTTTCGTTTTTGTTTGTGTTTTTTTTGTTTGGGTTTGTATTTGTGTTTTTGGTTGGTTTTGCGTTTGGATTTGGTTTGTTTTCGTTTGCTTTTTCGTTGTTTTTTTTTTTGGTATTGGTGTTTGTGGTTGGGTTTGTTGTTAGGTTTTTGTTTTCGTTTGTTTTTTCTTTGTGTTTGTATTGGTGTTTGTGGTTGTGGTTGGGTTTGTTGTTAGGTTTTTGTTTTCGTTTGTATTTCTAATTGTGTTAGCGTTATGTTTGCGTTTTGTTGTTTTGGTTGGTTGTGGTTTGGGTGGGCAATGCCGGGTTTATGATGATTTCTAAACACACAGGTAATGGTCTTTAACGGAAAGGTTTTTCACAGAAGCCAGAGCAGGGCCTGGCCGGGACGGCTAGTAAATATATATGGGTGTGTCTATATAAATATATATGGGTGTGTCTATATAAATATATATGGGTGTGTCTATATAAATATATATGGGTGTGTCTATATAAATATATATGGATGTGTCTATATATACATATATATATATATACTAGCCGTCCCGGCCAGGCCCTGCTCTGGCTTCTGTGAAAAACCTTTCCGTTAAAGACCATTACCTGTGTGTTTAGAAATCATCATAAACCCGGCATTGCCCACCCAAACCACAACCAACCAAAACAACAAAACGCAAACATAACGCTAACACAATTAGAAATACAAACGAAAACAAAAACCTAACAACAAACCCAACCACAACCACAAACACCAATACAAACACAAAGAAAAAACAAACGAAAACAAAAACCTAACAACAAACCCAACCACAAACACCAATACCAAAAAAAAAACAACGAAAAAGCAAACGAAAACAAACCAAATCCAAACGCAAAACCAACCAAAAACACAAATACAAACCCAAACAAAAAAAAACACAAACAAAAACGAAAAAAGAAAGAACAAAAACGAACCAAATCAAAACGCAACCACTAACGCAAACCCACCTAAATACAAAGAAAACACTAACGCGAACATAAACGCCCGGGGCAGAATCGCCTGTTTTAGCTTAATAAACGACTATAGTACCCCAACTTATTCATAGTTTTTGCACTCACTTAAACGAACGCGCCTGTTTCAATTTAATGAACAATTATAATACTCCAAGCTTATCCGTAAAATACCTACAACATTTGCACTTGATCAATCCCCGCTAATTATGTAATTATTTTTTTCCCAACACCAAAACAAAGTAATTAAAAAGTAAATGCTTTTCAACTAATGCTATGGTTTTATAAAGGGAAGTAATTGTGTTTGCCTTATTTATCAAAGGGAAGTAAGCGCTATAGGACTAAAGAAAGACATAATTAGAATTTTTGTAAAAGATGATATTTTTTTTAAAACTTGTGTTTAATGAACATGCCGACAATTATTACTATAATTTGAAAAATGAAAATGATTTCCCAACACTTTTAATAGTAATTTTTTAACTCATAAATTTAGACAACTGCGCACGATAATTGATCTAACACTTAAATCCGTAGAAATGCCAACGACAAACATGCGTTACAGAATTGAGCTTTATATATTAGATATATATATATACATATGTATATATATATATATATATATATATATATATATATATATATATATATATGGATGTGTATATATATGTATATAATATATACAAATATATTCACATATACATGTATCCATAGTTGAATATATGTGTGTATTTCTGTATGTATTTATACTTATATGACCTTAGAGCCTAGAAGTTGGGCCAATAACAAGTTACCTGTAAAAAAAGGCATTAAAAAACAGCACATCTCCGACACCATGGACCACTTTATCAAAGCACGTGAATCTGGTTTTACTCACCTGTTCACGTTCCAGACCCCCCCCTCCCTTTTACCTGCATACACACATCCACTCAACTACCTGCGTGTAAGCCTAGACCTCAGGTAAATTGAGCTTTGTTTTGAACCGTCTTCCTGTCGCTCGTATAATGGTATAGCTTGGGGGAGGGGGGGGGGGGTG